CTGGTGGCTTTTGAAAATCGCGTCAGCGAATTTTTTCTTTTTGGCTTTCTCACTAATAGCCTTCATATGTTCAATGAAAGAATAGTTGTATTCCAAAACTAGACCGAGATACCAAACCGACTCCTTTCGTTTTACGGAAATATTATTAAATTTAATAGACTGCCACGACTTTAGATTTTCTTTAAGCAATAGCTGGTAAGTTTTCTGGGGTGTAAAAGTCAAGCGATTTCGTTCGTTCCCCATCGCGAGATCTTACTGAGACAGTCTTTAGCCAAATTTAAGAGATTAACAAGTTTGAGATTAACGGCTCAAGGTACAAAAAATCGGAGGGCCATCGCCCTCCCCCGGGGGATTTTTTTTTAAGGGGGGAAATCATCGAATGACTGCTCCCGCCTGGGTGAGACGGGAGGGAGTGTCAGACTCTTACTGACTAAAAACCACCCCGTTCCTTCTCCTGCACGTCGAGCCGGAGCCCCGGTTACCCGTTAGGGTCTCCGCGACTCCGAATCGGCTCCCCCGGGGATAGGTTGGCTGCTGCCCCACCCTGAGGCCAAAGCTGGCTACGCCCATGTGTTTACCTAAGAATTTATACTTCTTAGTTCTTAGGCCTAACTTTCTTATGTTGAGGTATTTTTTTATTTTATTCCTCAAGTCCACAAGGAACTGCTATGATATTATTGACGCCCTTTTTACAAGCTTTTATTTAAAAAAGTCCCCTCCTAGAAATCCTATTGCGTCAACAACCATGTAAGAAACTTTTGATGACTATTTTAAAATATCTAAGACGTACCCACCTACTGACTCTGCCATATTACTTCCCTCTTTCCTACGACCCACAACTCACCTCTTTAATATCCTTAAGTAAGAGCAGAGTCTTTTCATGGTAACTGCGGAACATCTTCAGCAAAGTCCTCTGTGTGAAGAGCACCAAGTCCAGTTCTGTCGGTATCACGTAAGGTCCAACACTCGTAGGCCGTTCGTTCACCGAACATTTTTTAACTAATTTTTTCATCTGGAATTTTGTCTTCTTTGGTATTTCGGATTTGACAGTGAACTGTAAAAATAAGCATGTTTTGTTAGTAGGTACCTTAGCCGGAATTTTTCACCATTTAATACTAAATAGATACAGGAAGTGGTCTTGGTGGCCACAAGACTACGAAGACGTAGGTTTGACGCCTGCTTCTCATGCTGACAAACGGTGAAGGAAAACATCGTGAGGAAACTTGGGTTTAAAATTTCTAATTAATTATAAGTTTGAAATCGCAAAGCGTGGTGCTTAATGTTCAAACCTTCACCGTGTGAGAAGACGCTTTGCTGAGCAGTGGGCATTTATAAGCTGTTGATGGGAGATACAAGAATCGTCATTCAGTAACTACAGTCGAATTTATTCAACGATATGTAAATCAAGCGTTGTTGTACGCTGCTTTCCTGGAGTCCATGGTATCACGTATCACTACGGTCGAACGCGAGAATGGGGTCATTATATTTTTTACAATGGTGTTGACCTTTTGTATCCGTCTCAGAATCATATCAGTCTGATTAACTGCCGTACTCAGAGAGAGACATTTAACTCGTCGAGTACCGGTTTTGTAGACACAATTATAGAACAATAGGTTGCGGTCACCGGTGACCGCTTGGTATTTGACAGTTTAAGTAATGATTACTGAAAATTATTTAAAAATTTTCCTTGTTTTTTCAAAATAAAAGTTGCCCACACTTTTTTTTAAGTAGGGAATATCATCGAATGACTGCTCCCGCCTGGGTGAGGCGGGAGTGTCAGACTCTTACTGACTAAAAACCACCCAGTTCCTACTCCTGCACTTCGAGCCGGAGCCCCGATATCCCGTTAGGTTCTCCGCGACTCCGTATCGGCATCAGCCTTATTGGGCCCCTCCGTGGTGGTCTGATGGCTCTTTGAGGCGCGCGCGGAACGCGACTCGGGTCTGGTTCTGGTCGGGGCCTGCGCGTTGCCCCACACTACAATTGTCTCCTGTGTCGTGGGTGCGCTTAACATACAAGTTCACATACACATGACACCCAGACCCCAAACAACAATTTGTGGATCACACAAAGAGTTGCTCCGTGCTCGAATCGAGCCCGCTACACGTTGCGCGGAAGCCGGTTGCCCAGCTATCGCGCTAAGCGTGCAGCCTTAAATGACTGAGTAGTCTGAGTACGGCGCTAAGTCGGGTAAAATAAGGACTACAGAGGGGCTTACGATATGATATTATTATGTTGGTTACACTTACTTCGATGCTCATAGATGAATTATCCAATTGGTTAGTATTTTCTGCAATTCCTTGGATCTTTGGCTGCCACTTTGAAATATTCTTCACATTGGGAATGTCATCAAAACCATTAAACTGTTCATAGTTTACGTAGCACAGGCAGATAGTGATGGTCATCGAGACGATTGTTAGATCTGTTAACAAAATTCACAGATAATTATAAGTAATGTAGAATGGAACATTTTTTTAAATTTATTTCTCTCACCGTCATTTACACAATAATATACAGTAAACAATTTTACAATTAAACCTGAGACTGGTGTCTGTTGTAGGTCAATAGCACAGAACACTCCGTTGCTAAATCTTAGGTCACCGTTACATAAGAGCGTTTGCCAAAATTTCTACGCTTAATATTTGGAAATCGAACAAACCGACATTGGTTTCTACGTATTTAAAAAATGTAATCATTTCTAGGTAGGTATCTTATTAAATACATTCTAACTAACTACAGTACTTAATAAAAGATAAAGAAAAATAAACCCAAGACTACAAATTGAAAATGTGATTTCTGAAAATTCTTATTAGAATAATTACCTACTTAGAATATTACGAAAAAACATTGCGCAATATTTAGGTACAAACAAGGTTTTTATTTTATTAGCCACAAAGTAAGTAAATTCGATATGCTTGACTGTCGTACAAGTGATTTCACTGTTTACATTTTAAAAATCTGTGTTGAAAACAGTTGATTAATCGCGAATGTTTTCAGAATACAGCATAAGTTGATTGTATAACAATAACGGTTTATGCCAGTGGTTCCTAAACTTTTCAGCTATACCCAACTAGTGAACTAGGTAAGAGTTTAATAATAATTCAGTCATAATGCACATTTTCACGTCTATCTATATCTTGTATTTTTTTTAAGGGTGAAAATCATCATAAATGACTGCTCCCGCCTGGGTGAGGCGAGAGGGAGTGTCAGACTCTTACTGACTAAAAACCACCCCGTTCCTTCTCCTGCACGTCGAGCCGGAGCCCCGGTTACCCGTTAGGTTGTCCGCGACATCTATGTGTAATAAAATTGTTGTAGTGTAAATTCTGTATATTGACCATGTAAAAAATAGTAGGGGATGTTACTAGATAGACCTACCGATTCCAAAAGTATGACTGAAAAAGTTCAACAATATTTTTTATGGATTAGGAGGCAAACGAGCCTCGAGATCACCCGATGGTAAGCATTTAGCGTCGCCCATGAACACACGCAACACCAGAGGAGTCACAGGTGCGTTGTCGGTCTTTTAAAAAGGAATACTCTGTTTCTTGAAGGTTTTTTTTTTTTTTAGTGGGGAAAATCATCGAATGACTGCTCCCGCCTGGGTGAGGCGGGAGAGAGTGTCAGACTCTTACTGACTAAAAACCACCCCGTTCCTTCTCCTGCAAGTCGAGCCGGAGCCCCGGTTACCCGTTAGGTTCTTCGCGAAGGTTTGAGGTCGTAATTACCTTAACTTTTAATATAGTTAATGTTATATTTAAATATACAGCTACTACGGATATTAAGCTAAATAAATTATGCTAGAAATTATTTGAGGACAGTCATAAATTTTCCACAGAACTTTGAGTACCTCTGTCAACCGGTAAATAGGTTTTTCTTGATAGTATGTCGTCATTTTTTGGACTGGCTAGACTCTATTAGGTACCGAGTCCACTGTTGGTCGTAGGCGTTGGACCTGTCAATGACTATAATTCCATCCGTTACCATTCAACATTTTTTTTTTATCTTTGCCTCACATTAGGATTTTCTCCTGTGTCGTGGGTGCGTTTACAAACATACAAGTTCACATACACAATGACACCCAGACCCGAAACAACAATTTGTGGATCACACAAAGTGTTGCTCTGTGCGGGAATCGAATCTGTGACACGTTGCACGGCAGCCGGTTGCCCAGCCACCGCACCAACCGTGCAGTCGATATAGATAGATCTGCTGCCCATCATATAGATAGATGGGCAGCGAAGTCTTAGTAATAGGGTCCTAGGTAATTTAGCCGCACCCTTTTGGTATGAAATCTTGAACAAGTAAGAAGGGCAACTTTGACTTAGTACTAGGTAGGTACTATATCGAGTTTGTATTTTTAAAGTGAGATGTAAGTACGTAATAAACTTACGGATTTTCCAGTCGAGCGTTGCTAAAATCCGACTTGCGGTTTCTTGGTCACGTTTTGTTGCTCTACTCGTATACCTCTAGTATTAGTTCTACATTTCTGAGAAACGAACTAATTCGTTATTCTTTTTTACTGCATTTTTTTTTAACATTGCCCCACTCTAGGATTTTCTCGTGTGCTGTAGGTGCGTTTACAAACATACAAGTTACAATACATCACACCCAGACCCGGAACAATAATTATTGTACTCTTATTAGGTACTTGAAGGTTAGACTTAATATTCCTATTTTACAGTAGTTTAGTAGGGAATATGGGGCCTCGTTGATTGAACGTCCAACTGACAAGCAAGAGGCCTTAGGTTCCATCCCTTAACGTTTGCCAAAGTACTACCTAGTATCGAAGATTTTCATGTTATGAAAGTAAGTAAGTATAAGAAATATAGCTGGTGGATGTTATTTCAATATTTCAATCAGACACTCCAATTTTATTTATTTGTATATGTATTGTTTGAAAGTTCCCTGAGTTAAGAACACACAGTTAATTTCAATTTGTACTACAGAGTTTGACAAGGTTGGTATTTTCGGTCGGTTATGACAGTCGTATCTGTCGTGTCGGTCGTGTCGCTCATATCTGTTGTGTCGATCGTGTCTGTCATGTCGGTCGCATCTATCGTGTCGGTCGTGCCTGTCGTATCTGTCGTGTCGGTCATATCTGTCGTATCTGTCGTATTTGTCTTATCGGTCACATCCGTCGTATTTGTCGTGTCGGTTGCATCTGTCGTATTTGTGGTGTCGGTCGTATCTGTCGTATCGATCGTATCTGTCGCATCTGTCGTATATGTCGTGTCGGTCGTATTTGTCGTATCTGTCGCATCTGTCGTATCTGTAGCATCTGTCGTATCTGTCGTGTCGGTCGCATCTTTCGTATTTGTCGTGTCGGTCGTATATGTTGTATTTGTCGTGTCGGTCGCATCTGTCGTATTTGTCGTGTCGGTCGTATTTGTCGTGTCTGCCGTATCTGTCGTATCTGTCGTATCGGTCGCATTTGTCGTATCGGTCGCATTTGTCGTATCGGTCGCATTTGTCGTATCTGTCGTGTCGGTCGCATCTTTCGTATTTGTCGTGTCGGTCGTATATGTTGTATTTGTCGTGTCGGTCGCATCTGTAGTATCTGTCGTATCTGTCGTGTTCATCGTGTCGGTCGTGTCTATATTGTCGGTCGTGTAAGCCGCGCCCTAATGAAAGTTCAAAATTGGTTGCCATTAAATAAGTTACTACTAAACGATAAAAAGGCAAAATGTATCAGATTTGTTTTGCCAAACGTTAAAAGTAATGAATGTGATATATTACTGGTCCAAATGTGGACGTACCCTAAAATAATACGAGTTATCAAGGACGTTGAGTGAGTGCTTATATGAGTGCAAGTGAGTGTTACTATCAAATTCAAATTGCATGTAGTATTCCCACCAAAGAGGGTGACAAACACATTTTCCAGGCAACAAATAACATTATGAATCACAATATAAAACAACAACATCGCCATGGCAACCGCCAGTTTTATCAATAACATCATCTGTGATCCTGTACTTACGTATTAAACTCTTTGGACACCGCTGATAGAAAGGTATCCTTCAAAATGACGTTTATACACAAAAATTAAAATTATTTGCCCGTAAAACCTGTATAATTACTTATCAAAATAACTGGAATGCTATCATTTATGGTCATTAAACAAATTTTGAAACAGCCGATTATATTATCTTCGTCTAACAAACCGTTCCCTTCTTACTTCGAATTCATCCTGAGAAATGACTTTCCAGGGTCATTTGCAGACTTTCAAGAGATTTCCAAGAGTTGGAAGGCTTTGATATGGATAAACCGTTGAGTGCTGGTGACTTTGCGGCCATGGAGGACCAGCTGAAGGCCTGTGTTGAGAAAGACAGGCAGTACTGGAGGGTTAACGACGTCAAATGTGATGCTATACACACTGCCAAAACTTATGAGGAGTTTGCGTGAGTACCTAAGTGTATCTACTATAATTCAATACATATGTATAATAAAACAGAGAATTATAAATTTTGTAAATTGGAAATATTAGTATTTTCAGCAGCTATTATATATAGTTGTTAATATTTTTCATCTAGATTAGGTTGCTAGACATACATCTGATACAAAGCACTTTACTGAAGTCAATTTATAGCTCTTTCCATCGATTTATGATTATTGCGTGTTTACTAATAATAATAATCACCCCTGTAGCAGTAAAAAAAATTGTCTAAATCATAAAATGTATGTAAATCAGTCCTTAAACTGTCAAACACCAAGCGGTCACCGGTGACCGCAACCTATTGTTCTATAATTGTGTCTATAATGACGGTACTCGACGAGTTAATTAAGGATCTCTATGTACTATACTTTATGTATTGAACGTATATTCGAGGCGACCTTATACATCGGGCACATTTTCGTTTCCAAAACCTATAATATGTAACTTGTGTTACCTTGCAGGCACCTGATATACTCGAGACTTTTACTCGTAGATATATGCTTGTGACTATCTCGCAAAAACTACTCTATCACTTTTTATTATAAAACAGACGAGACTTGTGCTAATGTAACATTCGCTTGTCGCAGAGACCGCGTGGCTGCTGCTCACCTGCAACCTCTAGACCAGAAAGACTTCAAGAAGAAATATAATCGCAAATGGAATCAGTACGCTACTGAGGAGAAACAATCTACCGAATAAATTATTGACTATTTAATAACACAAATTGTTTTTTTATTTACATCGAGGAAGGAATTTGAAATGCAGGACGTATCGTGTCGGAGAGAAATGCGACATTTTATTAAATACGGATTTATTGATCTTAATTCTGTTACAATATAGGTCATAAAATAATAATAGTTTACCTAGCTACACTTTATTATAAAATAAAAATTACGTTTCTAAAAATAAAACTATTAACAAAATGATTATTTTATAGAGTAGACACGATTGAGGAGCTTCGATTGTATTTACGACACATCTTCGTTATAATATGTGTTTAATCTGGATGTACCTGCAATATTGTTACGCGATTGCAATGTGAATATGAACTGGTTTACTAATTTTATAACTTCTGTCTTTGGCGCCTCCAGTGAAGCACAACGCAAACGTTGTATCACGCTGGTTTTCTATGTGGCCGTGGTATCACTCCAGCCTAATTTGCTTATTCGCGTGCAAGCATTGCCCTGTTTTGGAACACATTTATTTATTGTTCAAGTACTATTTCTATTTATCCTTCTTTTTATGTTTGGGATTGGACATTAGAATGACGATTTCTATCTTAGTATGTTTGCTCTCCCTCTTCGGATGGTAGAACCGACGGTCGCTGCGATTCATTGGTACCAGGGGTTTGTAGTACCAGCCGTAGCTGTAATAAGAAGGTTTATTGATTGAATAAGGGTAAAAAGAAGGATAGATGAATTAAGTAAAAACGCGGGTTACTCACGTGAATATAGCGCGGCGACGTCGCGCAGCTCACTGACGTCGCCGCGACCGCGCACGCTGCTCATGAGGAAGAACCCCTCTGTGGTTCGAAACTAGTAGAGCTTTTCTCAGTATATTCACGTGAGTAACCCGCGTTTTTACTTAATTTAGTATGTCTCACGATAGTTATTATAAAAACAGGATAGATGAATATGGAAAGTAGCTGTGATTTTAATCAAAGAGTTCATGTCCAGTCAAAGGCCAATACCCAGAAATGTATGGAGGAAAAACCCTGAACCGATTAAAATAATTTATATGTGGCAAGGTATATACATAGTATATCTTAAATTCAATAATTGTTTTCTACGAAACCGTCACCGAGTAATAAAAATAAGACCAGTTTATCATGGACTCGCTTTGTATGACCTTTCCGTAGATTTACCAATCAATTTATATTAGTTGTTACAAAATCACATTTACAACAACGACAAGGTTTGTTGAATAAGGAGAGAGTGGTATAGTATGGTGAGACTTGTATAGATCTCTCTCAGACAAACATAGGTAGAAGAAAGTAGCGTGTTAGGTTGTATCCAACCTCAGGTCGAACGGATCATCAACCTGTGGACTTTATTGTAACACTAGCTACTGCCCGCGACTTCGTATGCGTAATCCCGTTTTCACCCGTTCCTGTAATATTTTCAGGATTTTTTTTGTCTTAAGAACCTTCTCCTGACAATAACAAACACAACAAAAAAAAAAACAGCCAAATCGGTTAAGCCGTTTTCATGCTATGTCGTGATAACGGAAAACGTGTTTCATTTTTATATATACAACATGTAACTTAAATAACGCACACCCTGAAAATAGTTTGTTCAGAATCGTTAACTGAATCGATTTATATAATTTTTAGTATAGGTAATTTTTTATCCCAAAAATAATTAAAACTACGGAAATTATTGTCATATTAACCCAAACAAATTGAAATGGACCGTAAGTCAAAGCAATAAGACTTTTAAAATCGCAGTTTTATTTGTATTCATACAAATTCTATCATTCAATACAAAATAAAGAAAAATAAACCTTATGACAAGACCAGTAAGGATGCATATACATGTTAAATTAAAAATTTAGTGTATGAATTATGATTGTAACATAATATTCTAATTGGGGTGTTTGAGGGTGTGCGATAATTACGTTACATGATGTATAGATATAGATATGAACTAGGTAAATAAAAAACTTTCTATTCTACTCTACTCTACTCTATTCCTCTGTACTCTATGCTATTCTATTCTATTCTCTTCTGTTCTGTTCTATTCCATTCTATAGTATGGTTAGAACTGTTGCTGTGAATGCATGTGCAGTAAAATGTAACTTCAGCGTCTTTTAACTAATACCACGCTTGAGGCTTCCTGCTATGGAATGATAAGGCGATCTGCCTAGTAGGTACGGGGTTAATGTATTCTTAATCTAGAAAATAGCAAGATTTGATATTGTATTATACTGTAGGTACATTTGACATAATCTGAAATGAAACGTGCAGTGTTAGATTAACTACTCTAAATATCTATACTGAGAAATGGTTTACTAGTTTCGTGTCACAGAGGGACTTTACATCATGAGGAGCGTGTGCGGTCGCAGCGATATGATTCTCCTTTCCACATGGTAAAATACTTTTGAGACCGAAATTCTAACGCCACAGACCTGACTCACGTGTTGTTAATATTAACCCTAAAATATTTTGAAAAACGACCCTTACGATTGGTTCTCAGTAGCTGGCGCGTCGTATTTACTGTGAGGTCCCTTGGCTCTGGTCTGTGCCACATTGCTGTGGTAATCTTCTACCTTCTTCGTCTCTTCTATAGATTCAGCTTTGAGCTGGTCGTGAGCAGCGTAGAACTTACCGGTTACGGGTATAGCTGGACAAGGCTACGTGTTATTTTTTACTAGCGACCCGCCCCGGCTTTGCACGGGTGCAATATGCATGTATTATACATATAAGCCTTTCTTAAGACACACTCTATTTAAAAAAACCGCATCAAAATCTATTGTGTAGTTTTAAAAATCTAAGCATACATAGGGACACTGGGACAGACAGACGGCGGATAGGGACTTTGTTTTATACTAAATAGTGGACTATGTATTGGAAATTGGTCTACGTTTGGCCACTATCTCGCCTGGTAGTAACCGATTATGCAGCCTACGATGGAGCACACCTGCCCATATATAAGCAACCTATTCTCTGTTATTGTTCTAATGACTTAAAGGTGGCAATTGGCCTGGAAGTTATTGGGAGGCTTTTATTCTATTTAGGAGTATAGTATTGTGTCTGCTTCACTTTTAAGTTTATCACTAGTTTCTTCCCGCGGCGTTGACCACTTTCCCGTGGTATAATAAGTACCCTATGTGTTATTAGTAATAACTTATTACAGACCGTAATCGATACCTGTTCCAAATTTGATTTCGATCCTTTCAGCCATACGAACATACACCCTAACACACATATACACAAACTGTCACAATACTTCCTATTATCTGTTTTTTTTTTGTAATTTAAAAATGTATGCATAATATATCTTACATCCGAAGTTAGGTCGATATATCTTGTAGTTCCTGAAGTGCTTCACCTCCCGGTATATGATTTCGTTCAGCATGTGGATGTCTATTGGCATCCGCGTGCCAAACGTGCATTTTCCTTCAGTCATCCTGTCTGTGATTTAGTGGAGAATAAACTCTATGTTAGAGACGGTAAGGAGGAGTTTTGAAATCATTGCAATTTGTATTTTAAATAAACTAGGCATTTTTAATCTACTAGTGAATTTTATGAGAAATTCTTTTGCAACGAATAGAAAATCCATCTTTGCGTATAGTGCACGCACATATAATACTGTCCTCGACTGTACTGTGTTTGATCCTATAGTCTGATAAAGAAGATTGTTGTTGTATCGATTTGTACTTAATGCATCTCATCCAGTTCTTTTGGTAACAGAATAGCCACAGTAATAACGGGTCTGATAACATAACAGTTAAAGGGTAAGAATACTAATAAATAGGTACATCTATAAAGTATTCTGGGGTAAAGCAGGTATATTATAATGCACGAATTTATCAATGTAATTTAATAATGTAAGATTATCATACAAAATAATGTTTAGAAATTCTATCTATAATTTTAGAAGACTGACTTACTTGATTTTTAATAAACTTTTAAAAAGTAAAACAATAAAAAATAAACTCAAGTTTTTTATACAAATACTTTTAAACAACTTTCAAAAGATATTTTTTAATTGACACTTTTGTCTTGTGTGTGTGACAAGGGACATTTCAATGGATTTGATTAAAAGAGGCCTTAATACTAATTCACAGCTTGTGGTACCAACAAACAGAATTAAAATCGGTTATTTCTTTCGGCCGTAACTTAGTCAAAGAGGCGTAAGAAGGAATTAGGCGTGATTTTAAATATTTGGTTGTCACCGACCTTGTGACCGCTCTGCTCAATTACAACCTCTAGGCCAGAAAGACTATACGATCTCCGGCCACCGTAAGCGCGGGCCTGCGGACGGCGAGCATGGGTGGCTCCCCGTCCGACCAGAAACAGACCCGAGCGTACGGCGTGTTGCGTTCTGCGCGCGTCTCAAAGAGCCATCAGACCACCACAGATGGGGCCCAATAGGGCCGATTCCGATTGGGAGTCGCGGAGAACCTAACGGGTATCCGGGACTCCGGCTCGACGTGCAGGAGAAGGAACGTGGTGGTTTTTAGTCAGTAAGAGTCTGACACTCCCTCCTGTCTCACTCAGGCGGGAGCAGTCATTCGATGATTTTGCCCCCTTAAAAAAAGACCAGAAAGACTTTGCCGATACGGAGCCGCTAGGACTTAACGGCTTGCCGGGGCTCCGGCTCGATGTGCAGGAGTAGGAATGGGGTGGTTTTTAGTCAGTAAGAGTCTGACACTCCCTTCCGCCTCACCCAGGCGGGTGAAGTAATTCGATGATTTTCCCCCCTTAAGAAAAAAGACCGAAAAGACTTTAAGAAGAAGTATAAGACTGAGGAGATAAAACCTATTGAATAAATTTTAAGTTCGCCAAATATGACCCACTTCCTAAGATGGCCGACTTTATAAAAAAATTCAATTATGATTACTTTTTTGGGTATCTTGATTGTCAAAAAAATACATTACAACCACTGATATGATAATATTTATAAATCTATGATTACAACCTTTAATATGTTTTTTTTCTACCTTTATTTATCTACAAGATTATACGAGGTTTTGAAATGAGGTGGGCCTTATTAGGCGACTGTACCTATACAACTAAAGTTATGTTTTATTTTAAAGTACTATGGCGTGAATTCTTTTAAACGAAAGAAAAGCAATATGTTGTTTAGTACGGTTTTATTGATTTTAATTCTGTTACAATATAGTTTTGGTAAAAAAAATAATGGTTTACTTAGCTAGCTACACATTATTAAAATAAAAAGTATATTTCCAAAAATATAACTTTTAAAAAACGATTAAAAAATTGATTATTTCATATAGTGTTTGACAGAAGAAAATTTAGGAACAATGATTAAATATTTGTGATTGACTTCATTCGGTGAATTCGGTCACCTTCGTAAGTAGAAGTAGACTTACACCTAGATTAGAGTACACCTAGAAGTAGCTGCAATATTGTGACACAATTGTAAAGATTAGCGGAAGTTCTGTGTCCTGGTTCACCAGTTTTGTAATTATTCTACTTTGGGCCTCCAGTAACCTCCTCATCTTGTTTCACGCCAGTTTTCTGTGATAGTCACTCCGGTTAAGCTGGTCCATTCATATTGAAGTATGGCTCTTCCAATGAGTAACCAGGATCCATAGAATGTAGCCCTTTTTGGAAAATATTTTTGTGTTGTCCTATTTTCTATTAATTGTCCGTCTTTTTATGTTTGGGATTGGCCATGAGTATAATGATTTCTATCTTGGTTTGTTTGCTCTCTCTCAATGGATGGTAGAATCGACGGTCGCTGCGGTTCATTGGTACCAGGGGTTGGTGGTACCAGCCGTAACTGTAATAAGAAGGTTTATTGAATATGGGTACGTAAAAAGAACGGTGGAAGGGAATGTGAAAAGTAGCTGTGATTTTAATCAATGAGTTCATGTCCAGTTAAAGGATAATGCACAAAAATGTATGGAGGAAAAACCCTGAACCTATTAAAATAATTTATATGTGCCAAGGTATATTTATATATAGTATATCTTAAATTCAATAATTGTTTTCTATGAAACCGAGTATTAAAAAATTTGACCAGGTTATAATGGACTCGCTTTGTATGACCTTTCCGTAGATTTAACAGTCAATTTAATTAGTTGTTACAAAATCACATCCTATTATGATGATGTTCGGAGTCGCGGAGAACCTAACGGGTTACCGGGGCTCCTGCTCGAAGTGCAGGAGAAGGAACGAGTACCTAAGAGTCTGACACTCCCTCCTCCCTTACCCAGGCGAGAGCAGTGATTCGATGATTATCCGCCTTTTAAAAAATAAATATGATGATGTGTTTAATCTTGGAAAACCTTTGGGTAAGAAGGTTTAAAGGCAATTATTGTAAATGTAATTCGTTACCTGAATTCTTAATCACTTTCATTAGTAACAAACATCGAAACAAAAAAAGACCACTATTCTGGCTCGTTCGGTTATTTTTTGGCCAAAACTAATTGTGTATTTGTGGCCTATGGTATGTTAGATTAGATCCCAGTAGACCCAGTAGATGCTGTGCTTTGAATCGCCACAGGCATCATCCACGTTATGTTAATCTTAAAGAAGTTCCTTACGATTGGTTCTCAGTAGCTGGCGCGCTGTATTTGCTGCGAGGTCCCTTGGCCCTGGCCTGTGCCACGTTTATGTGGTAGTCTTCCACCTTCTTGGCGTGTTCTTCACTTTCGGCCTTGTGCTGGTCGTGAGCAGCGTAGAACTTACCGGTTATGGGTATAGCTGGGGAAGATATACTTATTACTTTAATATGAATAGCCGTTGACATCCCACAGTTGAATTATGAGCTTGTTGAACTGTATTAGAAGAATTCAAATATTGTTACTGATTCCTTCGGTTTTAAATTAGGCTTCTATTTCCAATGTAATGAATAATAGAACTGGTAAAAAGAGACTTAAGTAATTTCGTGTTTTTCTCCCTTCTTTTAAAGCTACAATGGTTTTCTAATATTATCCAAAATTCGAACATAAGTTGGTTAACTGTGGTTGGTTGACTGCGTCATTGGCCGAGTGGACGCAAGTGCGACTGCTGGGCAAGGAGTCTCGGGTTCGATTTCCGAGTCGGGCAAGTATTATTGGTTATCTGAAATTGTGCCCGGTATATGACAATAGGCTTACTCCTTATTACATGGGACTTATAAAATAGTGAACTATTTTTTGCCGATTCATCTAGTCAACCATCGTTTTGAAATTTACACTTGAGAATACGGAGAAAGACATTGGCAATGATGTTAAAGCTAGTAAGTAGACTATGCATTAAATGTATATAATTAAATATAGGTAAATGCATATAATTAACGTCTTACATCCGAAGTTAGGTCGGTATGTCTTGTAGTTCCTGAAGTGCTTCACCTCCCGGTATATGATTTCGTTCAGCATGTGGATGTCTATTGGCATCCGCGTGCCAAACGTGCATTTTGCTTCTGTCATCCTGTCTGTGAATGCAATTATAAACCCTATGTTAAAGACAGTAAGGAGGAGTTTCAAACTCATTGCTATTTATATATTTTATTAGATAATTGAAAACTGCCTCGTTGACCTAGTGGTCGCAAGTGCGACTGTCGGGCAAGGGGTCTCGGGTACGTTTCGCGGGTCGGGCAATATACTTATAACTGGGTTTTAAAAAAAATCTCAGTAGTAGCACGGAGTCTGGAATTGTGCCCGGTATATGGTAATAGGCTTACCCCCTATTACGCGGGACTCATAACATAAATAGTGAAAAGTGGGTGTTACATTGTATGTACAGTGGCATAATGTGCACCTCTGCCTACCCCTTCGGGGATAAAAGGCGTGATGTTATGTCATGTTACAATTTAATAGTGAACATTGCGGGTTTCTTTCTTATGCTACGAATTGGAAATTCATCGTTGCGTTAGTTGTGTAGTCACGCATAATGTTGCAAGTCTGAGGAACTTGTGGAGTCAGGAGTCTAGAATGGGGTATTGTGTTAGATCGAGTCGAATAAGGAAGTAATAAAGAAATGATGCCTAATATGCACTCTTTCTGATAAATGCGCTAGTGTCTGTAACATGAGTCGCGAAGAACCTAACGGGTTACCAGGGCTCCGGTTCGACGTGCAGGAAAAGGAACGGGGTGGTTTTTAGTCAGTAAGAGTCTGACACTCCCTCCCGCCTCACCCAGGCGGAAGCAGTCATTCCATGATTTTCCCCCTTAAAGAAAAAAGTGTCTGTAACATGGCAATAACTTATTTGGTAAAAATTTGAAATACTGCATGTAAAGTATTTTAGGGAATTGTACATGCAGATAATATTATAAGTAAGTATAGAACATTATACTCATTTTCTATTTAGTACCTACTGCAATCTTTATTGGCGAATTCTGTAACCAAAACTGACTCACCTAATTTATAAACACACAATGTAAAATAATAAAAAAAAATAAACAAGTTTTTATACTTTCAAAAGGGTTTTTGATTGATGTCTCATTTGACGTGTTAGTATTTGACGGGTTAATTTACACAATCTTATGTTGGCCATAGATGTAATAGAAAGAGGTATTAATACTAATTGATTAGCTTGTGATACTATCAGACACCAGGCAAAAGCGCTTTCTGATACACACAGTCAGGACACAGTCTTTTTTTTTGGGACAAGCTCGCCACAACCTCCCAAAACCGCTGCAACTCCTATAAGCCAGGTTCTACAGTAGATACAACCATGAAAACACAGGAACACTGAAGTCCGGCGCGTCCCAGGGACATGAGTAACTGTCTTGGTTCCCGCAACGAAGTGTGTTTGTGCCGAAGCATGGCTCTCTCACACTTGAGAACCACTTTCTTACCTGCCAAATATGTTGATTATGGCAAACCCTTTTTAGTAGGGGAGGCCTATAGTCCACTAGTGAACGGGCCAGGCTGTTGATGTTGTGAATATGTTAATTAACGAGTTCAGTAGCGTAAAGAACTGTAGACTGCAGTAGTGCAGTTTTCGTTCACTGTATGCAATAAATCCAACGTTATCAATCATTAACAATTTTTTGTTTATATATTTGATGGGTTGACGTTTAACTACTATCTCGCCTAAGCGATGATGTGGTCTACGATGGACCACGTCGTCCCATAAGCAACTTATTCACTTGGACCTTGAAGACACCCAGGTTTATACTCTTCCGGAAACACAGAGTCTGGCAAAGAATTCCACTCCTAAGTTATTCCCAGTACGCACAAGGAAGCTTGATGCGAAGCGCTTCGTGCGTGTGGGTGGGAATCTACCATGAATCGGTGACGCTTCGCCGATTGTCTTGTGGTACGATTATGGAAAGGACTGGGGGAATCAAGTTGTACAATTCCCCCGCACACTTACCGAAATGTATCCGGTCGAAAACCGAAAGGCTTTAAAGCCGGGCCTCCTTTTCTTTTTTTGTCACTTGTCAAAATTGTCACGTTTCTTATTTTTAAAAGCAGTAATGACCAAATACTCATACGCCACTCAAGTTTAAGTCGCGCAAGTATAGTTCTGTCACTAGAAATTCTTTGTAAATGACAGAGATGGCGCGATGTTTAAGTACAACTTCAAATTTTGTAGTCTTTTAGTAGTCGGATGCTAGTGACGTAAATATTTTGTTCGTTTCAGATATTTAACCCGAAAATTTCTCATCCACCATGACGTACCTAAAACAAGAAGATAGCCAAGCTAAGCTAAGGGTTTGTAATCTACAGATGGGGATGTTAATTTTAATGGGGAAGGTTAACAAGATCAGAGCTGGCCTTCTCGCCTTAATCTTAAGGATAGATTGCTACCGGCGGCTGTTCGCAACGCCCTGTGTTATACGTATTTGTACATTCTGTATATGACAGTCCTTGGAGTAGGTCTATCAAGCTGAGTCTTGATATTTAGGTAATGGGAGTTTCGTAAATTGGTGTGATGTAGTTGGATAAATAATTGAACCTAATAGTACTTAGTATACCTAATCTATGAATTTTTGAGTGTGTCTTTGTGTGAAATATTGTGGCATTGTTGCTTCAGTTACTCTTACACATGTGTAACACATATGTGTTTTAAGTAGTTATTTTTGAGATAAAATCAATGTTTCTAAAGTAAAGAAAACTAGTTTTTCCGGAAATTATGATCGAATTCAGGGTTTCTTAAGTCATCATATTATTTCTAGTGTAGTCCAAAAGGGTAGGTTAAGTAGTTCGATAGGCAGTTGTAAAACATTTTCAACCTTAAAAGAATTTACCACAAAGACTTAAAACACAAAGTAGGCACTTAAAAAACGATCCGGCGAATTTTTATTTAGTAAATTTTTTAGCTTTCATCGCAGGCATCGGAAACGGGAATAATTCCCAATCAATGGGGGCTATAATTTTCAAAAGAAATACCAATAAGAAATGAAAAATTCTCATTTATGATCCGTCCTTCCGCCGCGCGCCGCGCCGGGTGTCCCTGGACTGAATTTAAAAGCTTCAGCGTCGCTATATCTCTCATTCTTCGTGAGATCGGGCGCGTGAGGTGCCTTTGGTAGCTAGTATCGTGATGAGCGGAGCGATAGCGGATTTTAAGGGTAAAATAATTGCAGTATGTACCAATGTTACTGGCGAAATGTTAGTGTTAAGCTAAACATGTGGACTTTTGCCTAAGTCTTCACAATCAAAGGTATGAATTTGTGTTCAATTACTCATAATTTGATTTCATATTCTTAGTAATAATTCATGGTATTAGACGTTAGTTTAGTTTGCTTGAAACAATGTTAGCTATTTAATTGACATTTAGACTTCAACTTATGATAATTTTGATTGAGTAAAAACGCGGGTTACTCACGTGAATATACTGAGAGTATACTCAGTGAGCTGCGCGACGTCGCCGCGACCGCGCACGCTGCTCATGAGGAAGAACCCATCTGTGGTTCGAAACTAGTAGAGCTTTTCTTAGTATATTCACGTAAGTAACCCGCGTTTTTACTTAATTTTGATTGGAGTATTATCGGCTATGACTTCATGTTACGTGTTTAAAATAGATGTCATTGTTGTCTCACCCTCTATCATTTTTTTTATTTTATTATCATGAAACTATAATAACACTTTAGGTGCATAAAAACAGGCAATAACAAGACTTATTTCTTTATCGTTAAGATAAAAACATGAATGAGTTTGTGCAGTTTAAGTACACAAACATAAAAAAAAACACTTATCTCAAGTTTAATTTGACATACGTAGTAATAAAGTGATGACTTGAAACACAGGTTGCATAAAACTAGTTCAAGCAAATCGCGACAAATATTAGTACTCGTCCTTATATTTTCTGTCCATATATATTAAGTCTCCTTCTCGGGGTTGACCCGGTGAACATAGGTACCTCGTCCCGCAACCCGCAGGAAAAACGATGCTCATAGCCCCCTTCTAAATCTGAATTCCAAATCTCCTTCTTCCTCTTCTGCTGACTACTTGACTACTGACACTGTTTGTGTGCTGTTCTGAATTTTGTGTGGGTGTAGCTTGTAATAATAATAATGTATTATTATTATCTAGTTAATTGTCTATCATAATTTAACTTTTGATAACTTTAATTCATGGTTTTTATTCTCAATAATTTCTATAATAAAGTAAAATTTTCCCGCTCCGCTCATAACATGATGATTTCAAACAAAAATTCCGATCGGCGATAGCATCGGTGATATTGCGAGCACTGGCGAAAGCGACACCGTGCGCGCTATTTCATAAGGCGTATAATTGGAATAGCCGCAAAATACCCGCGCGCCGCGGCCGCACCCGACGCGCGCGGTCTCGAGCGCCCGGTCGGCGGTTACAACGCTGCGTTTGTATTCAAGACAGTAATTTTCTTAATTTTAATAAAGTATTGGAGTCATTGGGAGAGGCCTATGTTCAGCAATATGGACGTCCTGTGGCTGATGATGATGATGATCGGAGTCTTACTATCTAATAATAGAGATCCACGCAGTTACATGCAGCTTTTATAAACTTAGATAAATTAGTATATAGATAAATCTAGGTATTGATTGTGCATGCCTGTATTTTTTTATTAACTCGTCAAGCACCGTCATTATAGACACAATTATAGAACAATAGGTTGCGGTCACCGGTGACCGCTTGGTGTTTGACAGTTTAAATGGAGTAAAGTAAGTCCTATAGACTTACCATTCAATAAAAAAGTTAAGTTCCTTAAGTTGGTATGAAGGCTTCAAAACGTAAACTTCAGTTTCAGCAGTCTTATAAAGACCTCTCCAATGTGGCTTATTTTTCTAATAATGTAAAGCTTCGTAAATATCCAGATGCTCCAGATGACTTCCATCTTAAGGTCGATTACCCACTTGTAACGTGGGCTGTTGGGGTGTCACAATGTATGTATAGTATAAGTTACCGAATATAGTATAACTTCCTGAGCATTAAAGTAGATCTTATACAAAAAACTGACACGACGTATTAACAAAACCAAACAAAACTCTCTTGTCGTTCCATCTCCCTCTGTTGTCAAAAACGCAGCGTTCGAGCCGCTCGCTGGTACGGCTAAGTCGAGCCCGCCGATGAATTCCCAAGATGTCTGCGGCGCGTGACAATAGTCCACTTGTAATGACTGCCTGACGGAGCGCCGCCGTAATCTGATAGCTTCATACACTTGCTTAACCTTCAATACGGTCCTTCTAATATTTACTGATGTAATTATTTATCTTAATATTGTAACTGGTAGTAGACCAAAGGGTTGCTTAACCTTTTAAGCTTTTTTTAAAGAGGCTTACTGACTAATGCCGGAATACTGAAACGTAACTCAATTTTAAGTCGTGCTTAAATATCGTGCCGTCTCTGTCATTTTACAAATAATTTGTAAAGGCAGAACTATACTTAAGCACGACTTAAAATTGAGTAGCGTTTCAGTATTCCGACATATACCTTTATTTAGTCAGTAAGCCACTTTTCAGCGCTTATGTTATTGGGTCCTTATTTGTATATGATAAGAGCATATTCAATGTCAAACATTATTCCAAATAGAATGTCATTTTAATACATTTCCTATTATAAAACGTAAGCAGAAGTTTACGTTTTTACAAGTAATGTCCATTTTCCACCAGTTCTTGTTCTTGATGTGTCGCTGCTATCGCAGGTACTATTTGGAACAGAGATGTAGTATTTCCGAAACCACTCAATTAAGCTAGTTACATACCTAAGTTAACAGTACTTTTTATACTAAAGCGATTACCTATAGCATAATATAAAAAGAGACTCATGCAGTTATATGCCGCTTCTACAAACCTAGATAAATTAGTATCGAGATAAATCTAGATACTGGTTGTGCATGCATATATTTTGTTATTGAATGGAGTAGAATAAGTCTTATAGCTTCTTAAATTGGTGTGAAGGCTTCAGAACGTAAACTTCATTTTCAACAGTCTTATAA